AAGCTAATGAAAATTCAGGGAACTCATAATACCAAGCCAAGGTCAGGTAGACCAAGAGCGATTGCAGCCTTAACTGCCAGAAGAATTGTTTGGGATACAAAGAAAAACCCACGGGTAAACTTAGGAGAAATACAGGCGGCTCTGGAAAATGATGGTGTGGTTGTTTTTTAGGAGTGCGATATATAACAACACTTGAACAACATTGAGCTGCATGGTAGAGTTGCCAGAAAGAAACCACTGGGCCAATTCCACAAAAAAGCCCAGCTACAATATGCCGATGACACCTTGACATGCTTCACCTGGCTTTTGTGTGGCATTGGCGCAAAATCCTGCCAAGCTCTTGACCTCTTGTGTTCAGAATGAAGTAGGACAGCTTTAGTGACCTGGAAGCAATGGAAATTTCTGGATTAGTGGTGTCTATTACAGTGATTTCCAGCTTCCAGGGAGATCTGCCAGGTATGGTCTATACATAATTACATTAGTCCAAGTTGGACCAATTTTAACTATGTATATGGTATCCTTACTTGGAATTCAGGGATGTTTGATTCCTATTGCCCAACACCCCGGGACATGCAGTTCCAGGCACTGGGCAATCGCATTTAGTCCTGCTGCAAGCAACCGACCCGACAGTCAACTCTCTTTTACAAGCAGTGGTAGGGGACTAAACACCCTCCCCCTTACCCCCTTCTGTCGTCTGTGAGCTGTCCCGTCTAGGGACCGTGACTTCATCTGCTCAACTGGTGGCCGGGGGAAGAACAGGACCAATGTTTATCAGACAGGATAAACATTGTAGCAGACATGGAATTAGGCATGACAGCCGCTTTGGTTGTCCCTCCTGTCCTGACCTGTGCGTCAAGGACTGCTTCCATTGCTACCATACACTAGTGGAGTATTAGTATAGGGTACAGCATGGCACAGTTCAGGGCACATTTACACAGGTTCTCGAAAGATGTTAGGTAGTCAGGAAAGTGGCTATTGCATTTGGAGAGACCCTAAGATCTGTTTTTAAAATGTTAGTTTGAAAAAAAAAAAGTTAAAAATAAATAAATAAATAAAAATACAAATCCCAGAAAAATTTAAAATTTTAAAAACTAAAAATAGTTATAGTTGTGTTTTGTTGTTGTCATTTTTGTTATTGTTCTACTTTTACTGTTTTATTGTTACTGTTTTATTGTTAACCATTGCTGTTTGCAGGAATGCTTTCAGCTGCAGCACTGACCTGTTTATTCTGACAGCAACAGGAACTTGCTCTCAGAATATACATAAATCAGTGTGGGTAGCGCTGTCGGATGAGATTTTTCATCCGCAGTTTAAAAAAAGAGCATATATGCCGAAGCATGGGGGCCTGGGGTGGCCAGTGGGTGGATGGCCCCTATGCTTCGGCATATATAGTTTATATTTGTTGGCACATTTCATGTGTGCCCACCATTAGAAGTGGGTGGATGAAGGGAGGTTTTCTAATGGTGGGCATACCACCACACGGTTTTCCTTGCAGAGATATTTCAATTATAAAGTTGTTTTATTGAGTTACTGTTTTATTGTTAACCATTGTTGTTTTCTTTGCAGTGATGTCAAACTGCAGCACCGACTTGTTTATTCTGACAGCAACAGGGTCTTGATCTCAGAATATACATAAGTAGGTGTGTGCAGTGCTGTCGGAGGAGATTTTTCATCCGCAGTTAAAAAAAGAGCATATATGCCAAAGCATGGGGGCCTGGGGTGGCCAGTGGGTGGATGGCCCCTATGCTTCGGCATATATATTTTATATTTCTTGGCACATATCATGTGTGCCCACCATTAGAAGTGGGTGGATGCAGGGAGGTATTCTAATGGTGGGCATACCACACACTTTCTGGCAGAGATTTCTTCTCTTTTTTTTCCCATTCAGCCCACAGGCTGCATAAAGGAAAAAAGAACATAGCATATACACCCAACAAGGACCAGCGACGTACTGGTACATCCCTGGACTTTGAATGATTATACCAGGGTGATGCCTACAGCCGCAGGCATCATCCTGGTATCGTTTTTTTAAGCTGGCGATGGGCTTTCATGTAAAAGCAATCCTAGTGGCTAATTAGCTGCAGGAATGCTTTTACAAGCAGCGGGAGAAAATGCCCCCCCCCCCCACTCTCTTCCACGGCCTTCTCGGGCAGAGTCCCGTGCCATCGGGGAAACCTGAGAATGCAGCCGGTGTTTCTGCCAGCTGATCATAGAGCTGATTGGAGACCGGAATGGTGCCAATCATCTCAATAGTCTAACAAATCAGAAGCTACGAGCATTTCATCACTTCAGTTGCGCAGAATATAAACAGCGCCATTTGTAAAATGGGAAAGCATATGATCACACCGATCTTGGTGAGATTAGATAATGTAAGGGCAGAGGAGATTTCTAGCATATGATAGACCCCAGATTTCTCAAAAAATAATATATGACAATGCCCATTGACGTTATAGGGGATATCTGAATTCCCTGTGATAGCATTAAAAGTGATAAAAAAATAAAAATAATTAAATAAATCAGAAAAAAAAGTACCCTCACCCCCCTTGAGCACATTTTGGCAGTCTAGCCAAGCACAGCCCAAAATCCAATAAGCACCTTCAGGCTTTTAAAGGGCTTTATTTCCTCATTACACTTCCTGACTACCTATCACAGTTTTGGAGGAGCCCTGGAATGCCAGAATAGCACCGACCCCCCCCCCCCCCCAAAATTTTGGAAAGTAGACACCCCAAGGATATTGTTAAGAAGCATGGTGAGTATTTTGCAGATCTTTTTTTTATATATCAAAACCTTGTGAGAAAAAATGAGATCTGCAAAATACTTACCATGCCTCTTTTTAAATTCCTTGGAGTGTCTACTTTCCAAAAAGAGGTCATTTTGGGGGGGGGGGGGGGGGGGGTTTAGTGCTATCCTGGCATTTCAGGGCCTCCGAAACTGTGATAGGTAGTGAGGAAGTGAAATGAAGAAGTTACGCACCTTCAGGCTTTCAAAGTGGTCAGTGGATTTCAGGCTTCTGCATGTGGCTAGGCTCACACATGCGGTATCCCCATACTCAGTAGAAGTAGCAGAATGTATTTTGGGGTGTAATGCCACATATACCCATGGCTTTTGTGAGCAATATATCATTTAAGTGACAACTTTGTGTAAAAAAAAAAAAAAAAAAAAAAAAAAACTGTTTTTGTCATATAGCTTAGGGTGTCTACTTTCCGAAAAGGGGTCATTTTGGGGGTGTTTGCACTATTCTGGTATTTTAGCACCTCAAGAAATGTGATAGGCAGGCAGAAAGTAAAAGCTGTGTACATTTCAAATTATCTATACCATAGTTTGTAGACGCTATAACTTTCACAAAGCAATCAAACTTATTAGGATTTTTTTTTAACAAAAACATGTAGCAGAATACATTTTGGCCTAAATTTATGACAAAATTTGAGATTTTTGGATATTTTTTATGACAGAAATTTTTGGATATTTTTTCATGACAGAAATGAGTAAAATGTAGTTTTTTTTCACAATTTTGGGTTTTTTTTTGTTTATAGTGCAAAAAATAAAAACTTATTGTGCACAGTGATCAAATACCAAATTTATGACGAAAGGCCAAAAGCTCTATTTGGGTGTGAAAAAATGGACGTAAAATTTCATTTATGTACAGCATTGCATGACCGCGCAATTGTCAGTTAAACTAGTGCAGCTCTGTATAGCAAAAAATGACTTTATTATCAATTACAGTATCAATACCATAGTTTGTAGACACTATAACTTTCACACAAAGCAATCAATATACACTTATTGGGATTTTTTTTTACCAAAAAATGTAGCAGAATACATTTTGGCTTAAATTTATGACTAACTTTGAGTTTACGATATATTTTTTAATAGCCGAAAGTAGAAAATATCGGGTTTTTTTTCAAAATTTTCAGGCTAATTTTGTTTATAGCGCAAAACATAAAAAGCGCACAGGTGATTAAATACCACTGAAAGAAAGCTCTATTTGTGTGAGAAAAAGGACATAAATTTGTTTGGGTACAGCATTGCATGACCGCACAATTATCAGTTGAATTAGTGCAGCGCCAAACAGCAAATAAAGGCCTGGTCAGGAAGGGAGGTAAATCCTCAGGATGGCAAGTGGTTATTATTATATATTTTTAGTTTTTTTATGATTGTAATAGTTATAGTAGTTGATTCTTTAAAAAATAAATGACACTGGTATTATATATATATATATATAGATAAAATATCTAATACCAATAATAATAGTTTATACTGTACATATCCGTCACCTAAAAAGTCTATGATAACTGCCTTGACTCCTATATATTGCCCTCTCTAATACCAGTTTGCAAATCTCCACCTGAGAGCAACACATTACTGGTTACATTTTACTTTACACAACCCCATTCATACATAACACACGATATACAGCTATTCTGTTTTCTTTCATATAAAAAAGAAATTGAGGCATACTTTGACTCTAATGTAGACTTTGCCACCATTATGCAATGTTCTATACAACATTCTCCATATATTGTGCTGTTTATTACACCATTCAAAAAGTCCCCTTTTTTAACCACAAGCCTACAGGGCACTTATACCCCCTTCCTGCCCAGGCCAATTTCCAGCTTTCAGCGCTGTCACATTTGAATGACAATTGCGCGGTCATGCAACACTGTACCCATATGAAATTTTTATCATTTTTTTTTGTAACAGATAGAGCTTTATTTTGGTGATATTTAATCACCTCTGGGTTTTTTATTTTTTCTTAAACAAACCAAAAACCACTGAAAATGTTAAAAAAAAAAAAAAATGTTTTTCTTAGTTTTTGTTTTAAAATTTTGTAAATACGTGATTTTTCTCCTTCACTGATGTGCGCTAATGAGGCTGCAGTTATGAGCACTGATAGGCTGCACTGATAGGTGGCACTGATGAGGAGGCACTGGTAGGTGGCACTGATGGGCATTGAAAGGCATCACTGATGGGCACTGAAAGGCAGCACTGTTAGGCGGCACTCACTGGCACTGATAGGCGGCACTCACTGGCACTGATAGGCGGCACTGATTGGCCCTGATAGGTGGCACTGACTGGTACTGATAGGTGGCACTGAAAGGCAGCTCAGATGGGCAGTGATATGTGGCATTGATGTGCACTGGTAGGCACTGATATATGGCACTGATGAACACTGAGAGCTGGCACTGATGGACACTGACAGGTGGCACTGCTTGGGCTACACTGATCATCAGGGCACACTGATCATCAGTGCCCTGATGATCAGTGTACATGTCCCCTCCGCGGAATGCCGATTACCGGCTCTCCTCTCCTCTCGAGCTGTCAGCGTGACAGCTCGAGAGGAGAGAAATGCCGATAACCAGCATTCCCCTGTTTACATGTGATCAGCTGTGATTGGACACAGCTGATCACATGACCGAGCCGGCATCTTCGGCTCTTTCCGTAGATCGGTGATCTGCTGTGACCGAGGGACAAAGCGCACCCCCGATCGCCGCGCTGCGCGCTCCCTGAGCCACGCATGTGCGGTGAGAATGGGAGGACGTCGTCATATGATGTCCTCCCAGAACGAGAGAACCACCCTGCGCCCGTCATATTACTATATGGGCGGGCGGGAGGTGGTTAAGGACCTACATCCACTGTAATGGGCCTAGCTCAATTCTTTGTTCAGTAATTTAGTGTTAACATTGCATGCTATTTATGTAACTTTCTAAATATTTTAACATCCCCCAACATACCTAAACCTCCCTGGCGGTATTCCCGAGTGTAGCTCGGGGTAAAGTTTCAGTACTAAAAACGGTAACCCCGAGCTACACTCGGGCTTACCATGTGGCGTTGCTCAGGGATTCCCTGCAGCACTTACCTTGTCCTTCGCTCTCGTGATGTGTCCCCTGCAGCGTCCGCGGCCATCTCCTCCGGCCGATGCTGGCATCCGTGTTCCGCTCCCTGCGAGCGTCGGGACATACGGGGGCCGGAACCGGCGGCAAATTTGAAAATGTTAAAAACTGTCATTTTCTAATAAACGAATATTACATAGTAAAACATTACTGTTTCAAAGCAGTTCACATACATTTTGTCCCTAGTGCTTTGTCCTGTGCACTGCCTGCATTTTTACTGTTCTTTCTGCCTGGAAACTTAGAAAACTCCATGGCGTCCAAAAAGTGTCCCTTTAGGTCAAAAGTGGTTTTAGACCAGCTAGACAACAGCGATAGTAAATCAGAACCACTTGCAGAATTGAGTGATAATGATTCGTGGGGAAATTCGTCATCAGACACTGAAAAAGATTCTGCGACTGAGCTCAGTAATGTGCAAACTTGGCGCTATATTTCAAATATCAGTGTTTTTGGTTTGATTATATTATTGAATTAAATGTATTATTATTATTATATTATTAATTTTTATGATTATTTATTAAATTATAATTTATGATTTCGTGTTTCAAGTTTTATCATACCCGGGATGTTTACTAGACTCTTGTTTGGACAGATTTCAGTGAGTTATTCCTAAAAATTGCAGGCCTACAATAAAAAAAAAAATACATATTTCCATGAAAAAAAAATGTACTACTTTCAGCACAGAAATATGGACATAATCAGACCGCTAGGGAGGTTAAGTTAAAGTAACTTACGATTTAAAGGTTTTTTTATATCTCATCTAGAGGTACATTGTCACTTACTTAGAAATTAATTCGGAACTAAAGGCAACTATTATACACATTATCTAGTCAAATAATAGTATATACAATAACATACAACTACATGAGGAAAACAATTTTCTAACACCTAAGCCACACTTTATACATTGTGGAATTTCCAGTTCCAGTTATTACATGGGATGTCATGAATAGAAAATATCCAAACTCAGTCTTACTCTGTTTATGAAATCTGACTCATCTACGGATCTTAACCCCTTCACGCCGTCGCCTCCCGGCCCTTTAAGAGTTTCAGAAGCCAGGAGGCGGGGGTGGGGTTTTAGGGTCATGTGACCACTGTGACGAGTCGTCACGGCGGTCACATGATCGGGAAAGGTCCAGATCGAAAGAGGAGACCGGGACCTTTCCGTGAGTACCGGACATGTGTGCTGGGAGCGCGCAGGGCACGCGCTCTTGGCACATATGTCCTTTTTCAATAGAACGCAAATGCATGGCCGCTCGGTGTCTAGGCCCAGACGCCGGGAGGCCGCACGTTTGCGTGCGGCCGGCGTGAAGAGGTTAACTTCTTGCCAACCGTCACACACAGGAGTACGGTGCCAAAGCAGGCCCCAAGCACTGGACAACGTACCTAGAAGATGATCCACGCTCCCAGGCAGGGGGTACACACACACGCTCCCCGGCCCGACAGTGCTGTATTCGGTACAGCACCGATCAGTCATCATGTCTTGCAGTTCTGCTGTAACAAATCACAGATCAGCCTATGCCTGTGATTACAAAACATAAATCACAAACTACTAAAAAAAAAAAAAAATTTAAAAATGTAAAAGTTTAATAGTTGTATTGTTAACCATTGTTGTTTGCTTTGCAGGAACGCCAATCAGCTGCAGCACTGATATGTTTAATCTGACAGCAACAGGGTGTTGTCCTCAGAATATATAAATCAGTGCCCGCAGTGCTGCTGGAGGGGATTTCTCATCCGCAGTTAAAAAAAAAACACACACTCCATGCATCCCCCATACACTGTCCTATACCCCATAACGCACGCCCATGCATCCCCCATACACACTCCATGCGTCCCCCATGCACTCTCTTATACCCCAAAGCGCACTCAATGCCTCCTCCATAACACAGTCCATGCGTCCGCCATACAGTCTCCATGACACACTCCATGCGTCCCCATACATTCTCCTATACCCCGTAATGCACTCCATGCGTCCCCCATACACTCTTCTATACCCCATAAACAACTCAATGCATCCCCATAACACACTCCATACATTATTATTATTATTATACAGTATATAGCGCCAAAGGGTATGCTCAGCGCTGTACAGTAGCAATCTCCCATATACTCGTCTATACCCCATAACACACTCCCATGCATCCCCCATACACACTCCATGCATCCTCATACACTTTCCTATACCCCATAACACACTCCATGCATCCCCCATACACTCTCCTATACCCCATAACAAACTACGTGTCCTCCACACATTGTCCGATACCCCAAAACACCCTCCATGTGTCCCCATACTCTCCTATACCCCGTAACACACTCCTTGTGTCCCTTACACACTCCCCTGCACCCCACAACATACTCCATGCATCCCACATACACTCTCCATAACACACTCTGTGTTGCCCATAAACTCTCCTAAACCCAGAAAGCACTCCATGTGTCCCCCATACACTCTCTTATACCCCAAAGCGCACTCCATGCCTTCTCCATAACACACTCCATGCGTCCCCATACATTCTCCTATACCCTGTAACGCACTCCATGTATCCCCCATACACTCTCATATACCCCATAATACACTCCATGCGTCCCCTATTCACCATCCATAACACGCTCCACGCATCTACTATACACTATCCTATACCCCATAACACACTCCATGCATCCCCCATACACTCTGGTATACCCCATAACCACTCTCCATGCACCCCCCATGTCATATACCCCCATAACACACTCCATACATCTCCCATATACTCGTCTATACCCCATAACGCACTCCATGCATCCCCCATACACTCGCACTCCATGCGTCCCCATACAATACTTCCTATACCCCGTAACACGCTCCATGCGTCCCCCATACACTCTCCTATACTCCATAATACACTCCATGTATCTCCCATACACTCTTGTATACCCCATAATACACTCCATGCGTCCCCTATTCACCATCCATAACACGCTCCACGCATCTACCATACACTGTCCTATTCTCCATAACACACTCCATGCATCCCCCATAACACACTCCATACATCTCTCATATACTCGCCTATACCCCATAACACACTCCAAGCACCCCCATACACTGTCCTATACCCCATAACACACTCCCATGCGTCCCCCATACACACTCCATGCGTCCCCTATTCACCATCCATAACACACTTCACGCATCTATCATACACTCTCCTATACCCTATAACACACTCCATGCATCCCCCATACACTGTCCTATACCCCATAATGCACTCCCATGCGTCCTCCATACACTCTCCTACACCCCATATCACACTCCATGGGTCCCTGAAATGGCATCTGAAAGGACAGAGCAGCTTCTAGGCTGGAGGTGACACTGGATGCCAATAAAACATTGTCACCTATGTAATCAGTTTGCCACCTTCTAGAAATCTAAAAAGAAGGGCTCTAGCCATTTCTGCTTTGGGAAGCAGCAGGAGACCAGGAGTGGCTCCGATCTGTCTGGGAGCTATGATAAGTCATAGCTCCCAGTGTGTCCAATCAGAAGGAAGTATTTTCATCTCTCCGCAACTAATATTTTAGCTTTTATGAGAGATGAAATATATTCCTTTGCTCTGCTGATATAAGTATCCGCAGATCAAAGGAATATATTTCATCTCTCATAAAAGCTAAAATATTAGTTGCGGAGAAATGAAAATACTTCCTTCTGCTTGGACACAGTGTAGGCTACATCTGCATGTAAAACTGTATTTGTAGCCTCTGTGGAATCCCAGAGAAATGCAGAAAATGGTTATATGGCACTTGATTGCGACAGCTGAACAGTGATTGGTAGTGTTGCGATCGGACTGATGCGCTGGTGTTGGAAATTCTCCCTGACTTGGTGATTCAAACCGTTCCTGGTCTAATCGACTTTGGGCACTTCAGAACCCAGAACGTCCTGTGGGCTGGTACAGGAACACTCCTCAGGATTGATTGTCCAAGGGCTAATGTTCAGCCTACGTCCATATTTCAATAAACTGAGTACTGAGATATGGACGGTGTGATTCGTATGGAGCCGGTTCTATTTGACTGGCGAATCGCAGACTTTCTCTGACTTGCTCCAGTCGCAGGATAACTCTTGGTAAAAGTTTTATTTCTGTTTTTATTCCCTTTTATTTTATAGTGAATAGCCAATTGTGTGTCTTTTTACATTTTCTGTAATTGTTTTTTCTTTATACATATTTTATGCACTGCCCACTTTCGGGATATTAAATCATAAAATTAATAAATGACTTCTGTGTACTTGAGCGCGGGCTCATATCTCCGGAGAGATTATATTGTATTGCAGTGTCTCTATATGCTTGGTCAATTTCATTGCCAATCTGTATGGAATTGCACTGCGTGTTGTCTTGGAAATTCGCTTTCAATGAATTTTCCTTACCGTGAGTGCCCACAGTTGGATGTGCAGCAATCCCCCATAGAGCTGTGCGAACTTCGCTGCAACCGTATTGCGCCCTCCGCTTACCGCGACTGCAGCTTAACTCCATGATTCCTGCGCCTCAGCCGGTTTGCAAAGGTTTAGCT